TAATGTGTTTTTTGAACCTTAAACCGCATAAACACATTTCATTACACCAAATACACAAAATAATGTTATTTTTAGCAAGATCATATGACCCCTTTAAAATATATTCCTCGCAGTGTTCAGGCAGTATTATAGAATAAACCTTCTTCTCAAGAAACTGGTAATGTCTTGTATTCATGTGGCATTGACCCACATCTCTTTCCAGTGAACTGCAGTTTTATTACATATTTGATAAGAGCCATTTCAATTCCGTGTGTTCTGGGTCAAGAACCAGGCTATGGCTGTTCTGCAACTGTAATCAGTAGTAGGCTATCTGTAACTCGATCAAATGTGTCACATTGCTGATTGCTTTTCCAAGTGCATGTTTGTTCTACAATAGTTTCATGAATTATTTATAACTATAATGATTCCATATGTAGGGCCTGTTTACTTGAATGGATGTGTTCGGTTGAAACACGATGTTGTCTCAATCATGTATATATAACACAATTTCCTAATGTGAAAGCATTTTCATGTGTGATGAAGGCGCAGTGCATATGGAGATAACAGTGTAGGCTACTATAAAAATCTGAAACGTTCAGTTGAATCATTTAACCCTGGATGCATTTCGAACGCAATTTGCGCACGGTTTCATACTCCTCCATGTGCAGTTAAGAGCAATATAAAAATAACTTTCTGGCCCACACAAAATAGGTTCGCTTAAAAACATCAATGCAAAATCAATGCAAATCAACTAGATGCAAAGTCATCCACAATATAAAACCGTCCAGTGACGAACAAAAATGCGGTTGTTTTAATATTAGAAATGAACTTAAAACCTAGAAAATACAAGAAGTTTAAAACAAATGACTATTTATATTTCCGCACCGTTAGAGTAACCACTGAGTGGGCAAATACGTGTCACGTGATATTAAACCATTTTTTTTTCAATGAAATTGAATTCATTTTACAATGAATAACGTGTTTTAATAATTCTTTGAACACGTGCTGATGTAAGATATTTTAGCTATTTTCAAGCGAAAGGAGACTGATGCTGATGAAGAAGTGATAGGCCTACTCTACTGATTGGAGCAACATTACTAGGCTATGTATGAATATTTAGGCCTACACTTACATGTTTTACAAAATGATTGGAATGTATTCAGTACAGTTTATTTTTTATTTATTTTTTATTATGATTGGTCTGATTTAAGGACAAGCTGTTTGCAAAACAAAACACCATATGTGACCCTGGACCACAAAACCAGTCATAAGTAGCACGGGTATATTACAATACAATGTATGGGTCAAAATGATCGATTTTTCTTTTATACCAAATGTCATTATGATAGGCTATTAAGTAAAGATCATGTTCCTTGAAGATATTTAGTAAATTTCCTACCGTAAATATATCAAAACTGAATTTTTGATTAGTAATATGCATCGCTAAGGACTTAATTTGGACAAATTTAAAGGCGATTTTCTCAATATTTAGATTTTTTTGCACCCTCAGATTCCAGATTTCCTGATAGTTGTATCTCAGCCAAATATTGTCCTATTCTAACAAACCATACATCAATGGAAAGCTTATTCATCTTTCAGATGATGTATAAACCTCAATAATAATAATAAAAAAGACACCTTTGACTGGTTTTGTGGTCCAGGTCACATATAGTAAGCTAAACAATTAATACATTTTATTCAAGAATAATATATTAACAAAACAACCTGCAAAACATATTTTGATAATTTAAAGAAATAAACAACGGTTACAACTAGAGAATTCTTACAGGTTATTTATTCAAGACCAATCTGTTGAAACTCCACGTCGCTATGGTTATCGCTTCGCACTTTTTGAGACCCCAGCTATTTTTTACTATCATCTGGGGGGACTTGAGGCTCCATAATTTGCATTCCGATGAAGAAATTAAAAACAACGCGTAGTCAGTCTACACAAGCGCAAAAGTCACGGCCACATAGCGCCCCCTGCTGATGGTAATGTTCAGTGCAGCCCGTCACAATGTGACTCATCTAATGTTTGCGTGCAGTTCACACTGGTTTCAGGGCAGAGAGCGAGAAGCGCTGAGAGTCGCACTTCCACCAGCAGCCTTTACACACACTGATCAGACATACACACACACACATACACACACACAGGGCTGGACTCACACTCAGCCGGGCCGTACCTCTGCCGTCTTCGGATCTACAGCCGCCGGAACGTTTCGGAGTTTTAAGTGGTTTTAATGTTCGCCGGAACGAGCGGTAAGTCAAAGCTTTGTGTGATAGTGCGTTAGAATGCTAACATGGTTAGCCGGTTAGCAGCTGGTTAAGACACAATAAACGTGCGTTAAACAACATCCGCTAAACTGGATGGGATTTGACAGCTGTATGCATGCTCTGTTGGGGCACACGATGCTGGATTGGCCTTGTTCCAGTGGATCTGATCATCATGGTCTGTGTTAGGAACGTATAGCCAGCTAGCTATTATTTATATCCTCTTCCTCTCTATGGATGTATGGAGCTCATAAGGAGCTTATGGGCCAGATCGTGGGCATGTCAGGTCTGCTTTCACATGATGTGTTCATGATCATCACCAGACATGGATGCTTTTCTCTCAGTCTTTCCACATGTGGGTTTGTTAGCATTGGTGCTAGGAGAATATTTCATGACGGTGGACTTGAACTACTCTGGTTTACAGAATAAGCTTGGTTAATTGCATCAGAACGAGAAGCTGGATGTGGTTTAGCATATTTGCTTCTGATGAGACCGAGCATCTTGGTAGCTGTGGTTTGATGCTCTCAGTATTAAAGGTTGTGATCACATTACTGATCCATTGCTGCTTGTCTGTGTTTGCAGGATTCCTGTTGTCCAATAGCATTATGAACATTAAAAGACTTGAATTTTCTGGAGTTCAAACGGCTTGATGGTTTCTTGGGAGCCTTAAAGTCTTCACTTAGAGGTTTAATTCTTCATCAGGTCTTTCATACTCAATTGCAGAGAGTTCAGAAGATCAGATTCAGTTCCCTTAAGCTTAGTGTTGTAGCCTGATGGATATATCTCATGTCACACTGGTATGTGTAAGGTGTGGAACACGTTTCTTCAGCT